AGTAAATAAACTAAGATGTAAAGTGATGGGTATCTTTAGATATCTCTGGGGTTCTTTTTTAAAAATATTTTTTAAGTTTATTTTTATTTTTTTAATGTTTATTTTATTTTTGAGAGAGAGAGAGAGAGAGCAAGCGAGCAGGGGAGGGACAGAGAGAGGGAGACAAAGAATCCAAAGCAGGCTCCAGGCTCTGAGCTATCAGCACATAACCCAATGTGGGCTTGAACTCATGAACTCCAAGATCATAACCTGAGCTAAAGTCGGACGCTTTAACCACCTGAGCCACTCCAGGTGCCCCTAAGTTTATTTATTTTGAGAGAGAGATAGCACAAGCAGGGGAGGGGCAGAGAGAGAGGGAGAGAGAGAATCCCTAGCAGGCTCTGCACTGTCAGTGCACAGAGCCTGTTGCAGGGCTGGATCTCAGAACAGTGAGATCATGACCTGAGCCAAAAGCAAGAGTTGGACACTTAAGTGACTGAGTCACCCAGGCACCCCTCTCTGGGGTTTTTTACATAACTAGCAGAGAAAGAACGACAGCTTTTACACAGGAGATGAAATAAAATGAGTACCAATTCAAGGATCTAATACCAAATATTTCTTGGAAGAGTACAAATGAGCATGTGCTAACCAGAGGGGATAACTGGATCTCAGGTCAATTTATTTTACCAAGTATGTAATGCGCACCTACTATATATGAAAATCAGCAAGACACCATTCTTGTCTTTAAGAAGTTCATAATCTAATGGAAGTTAGATAATTATTATTCAAAGCAGAATATAACTTTCATAGGTAAGATGTGAAATGCTATGTAAAGTACTATTTAGTATTATGCCATAGTTTTTAAAATTTTATTGCGTTGTTCATATTAGGACTTTAAAAAAATCCAGTATAATTAACATACAGCATTACATTATTTTCAGGTGTACAATACAGTGATTGACCAATTCTATATGTTACTCAGTTCTTTTCATGCTAAGTGTACTTCTAATCCCCATTATCTATTTCACCCATCCTCCCCTCCCCCTGCCAATCACCTCCCCTCTGCTAACCACCAGTTTGTTCTCTGTTTAAGAGTGTTTGTCTCCCTTTTTTTGTTGTTAATTTTGTTTCTTAAATTTCACATATGAGTGAAATCATACGGTATTTGTCTTTCTCTGACTGATTTATTTCACTTAGCATTATACCCTGTAGGTCCATCCATTTGTTGCAAATGGCAAGATTTCATTCTTTTTTTATGGCTTAGCAATATTCCATTGCATGTATACACACACACACACACACACAACATACAACAAAGAATTATAGCTAATGAGTCATCAAACAGGACAAAATGGAATCATAAAAAATAATTAATGAAAACATATACAGAAAAGAAAAAGAATAAAGAACATATGGTAAACATAGAAGACAAACAGCAAGGTGGCAGTTACGATTCCAATCATATCAATAGTTACATTAAATATAAATGGTCAAGTAGGAAGAAAGTACAAAGAGCTGTGGGATATAGTGAAAGTTTCATGAATGAGGCACTTCCTAGAGGCCTTAAAGAATAGAACATGATTTTACCAGGCTGAGAGAAAGATATATAGGACATGTTCTGAGGAGACCACGCACCATAAAAAGATGAGACACAAAATCTATTTTATTAACAGTAAGTCATCCACATGAAGTAGACTACAATTTAAGATATATGGTAGTACTGGAAGGTAAAACTGAAATTATGGTAGGACCATACTTGGAATGCCCTTGAATTCCAAAGAAAGGAGTTTGTAATCAATTTGGAAACTAGAGGAAAATTGCTAAAAGTGACAAAATTAAAGCTGGGCTTTGGGATGACTAGTCTGAAAGTGATCGATTCTATACTTATAAGTAAATTACATGAGGATGTCAGGAAGATGTATTTTATGAAGAGAAATTGGTATCTTAACATTTTCCTTAAGATACAACAGAAAGGGTGTAAAGTAGATGAATTAAGTAATCTGGTCAGGTACAAGTTGGGAAGGAGTGGGCAAGGCAAGAACCAGAACTACCTATGTATAGAGGTTTTTGTTCAGAAGCATCTTAAAGGTGATGAGTGGAACAGGACATGTGATAGGAAAATGAGAGTGAGGTAGAAGGAACTGTGGCAAAAGAGCTACTGAACTTTAAAAAATAGAAACAGGTAATGTTAGAACAAAATGTCCTAAGAACGGCAAGGCATCCTCTTTAAACCAGAGTGTACAGTGGGTGGAAAGTACAGAAGGTCCTTCTACATCTGAGTATATTTGGAATATTTCAGTTAGTTGGAGTGTTTTCAATAATTCTGTATTTGGGCAAGACAGAATGTACATCAAGTTCAACTTCTGAAAGCATGTCTCTATACTCTACCATGTTTCCTGAGCTATAAACAGCAAAACTTAAACCCATTAGTGTCTTAAAGTAAATTCCTAAGGAGAATGTTGAGCCACATAGTACATCTGTTAAAGGTTGCGTTGACAGCACAAATAAGCCTTTGAGGGTAATATCAGAATGGCATATGTTTGTTATGAAGTAGTTGTCAATAGCAGGTATTCATACATTCTGGAACAAAAGCTGAATCACTTGTTATTTAGATGGTATGTTCTTAAAAATAGCAGAATAGGTGGGAGTTAGTCATATCTGACAGAAATCGCACTTCCACAACTGGACAATTTCTCTACAGGAAATCTCAATTCACTGAAAATAATTTCAGCCATTCTTCTCAATGTAACATCTGTAGGTTAGAATGACAAAGGTATGTTTTGGAACCTGTGAGTTCTAAACATAGAAAACTCTCCATATATGATCTCACTGTACACTTAAAGGTAATTTTTTTCAAGATCACTTTGTTGATCCCTTTTTGATGTGAGAAAACATTATGCATTAATTAAGGGAAAATGAATACACCTGAGTACTCTTCTTCAAGATTTTCAAGAAAACATCATAATTGCCATTTAGATTTGCAGTCTTCGTTTTTAAGGCAACAGAGAGACAGCCAATTACTCAAAAGTAAACTTTTAAATAGGCTATCCAGGTCCAGATGTTTGGAGGAGACACAAGAACTAAAAAATTCCCACTTTCTGTCATAATTATGCTTGGAAATGAAGTTACTTGGCAAGATGATATCAGATGGATGGCATTCTCATAGAATTGACAATAGGAGTTTCTCATGTATAAAAACTTGAAAAATAAACTTTTAATTCTTACATTCAACTTCACCATCTGTTCATTGTTTTGGGTCTCATGTATAAATAAAAAGCTTAAATAACACACATAATACAGTTATCACAGATCTTCTCATTGTAGCAGTTAATAATTCTTATATTATTATGATTGTTTAATACAGATTGCTAATGAGCACTATCTATATTAAAAGGTATGAAGAGTACTATAAAAATACTGTGTAATATGCATCTCTAAATCAGAGAGAATTTCTCTCTCATAGTAAAAGAAAGAAACTAATACACTGTTGTCCATATCTCAAATCTTTGGTTAAGTTTAATGCCTTTAAAAGAAATCAAGTTTTAAAAAATACATTTTTAAAAAATGTCATGGGTAAGAATAATAACCCATAGGTTATATTATTGCTTTTTTACTCCTGGGATCATAATGCTGCTGGTCCGCAGACCACACTGGACTAACAATGCCCTAGAACGTTCACTTGTCAGCAAAAGATGGCCCAAGGGGCAAATTCTATCTGCAGCTTTTTTTTTTTTTTTTTTTTGCAAAACAAGTTTTATAGGCACATAGCCACACCCATTCATTTACACATTGTCTAACGCTGCTTTTGCACTAAAACAGCAGAGTTGAGTAGTTTCAAAAGGCCCTTATTGCCTACACTACACAGCCTACAAAACCTTAAATACTTAATATCTATCTTCTACAAAATGTTTGCTGAGTCTTGTCCTAAAACGCCACTCTTCTCCCCATCATCCAGTTGAGACCTTGTAAATTCAGAAATTACATTTACTGATATCAAATATAAAGACATGCAGTGAGACTGTTAGGGTATCTCAAAGCTCATAAAAAATGTTCACTCTCTCCATGCATGTCTCTGAGTAACAAAGAGTTGTTGACTTTATCATTGCCATGATATAACATTGATGAATGTCTGATGTGTTCCACAATTAAAAGTCACAAAGTTACCCTCCTTCCTATAATTATCCCTGGTAATAAAAGACAGGGAGTAGAATAAAAAATTAAATCATCAGTTTTCCCCCAAATCTCCTGTATCATCTTATTTTATTGTCTGCTTTCTTTCTGAAACACTGGATAGGTTAACAAATACCAACCAGCACCCAAGAAAGCAGTGTCAGCAAGAGGCTGCCATCAGGGCTTACACAGCATGGTGGCTGCAGGCTTCAGACTTCTCAGATGTGTTTCATTATTAGATTTAATTAAATTTTATAAAATATGTACTAGTCAATTCATCACTCTATGATTTCTCCATATCTCATGACTGGCTTGATTTATATTAGTGGCGGTACTCCTGAAGGCATTTGATTTGGGGATCCCTGGTTTGGATAATATTCAAAGTAAAAATAAAATCAGGTCACATAAAGGGATCACTGTTAAAAGCTATTATGAGTATTTTTTTCATATGTGCAATATATAAATGAAACTAATAATTGTACTAATAAAGAACAGTGTCTTAGAGCAAAAGTCTTAGACTGTTATCTAAATGGGGAAATTTAATTTTGTGAAAGGCAGTACAGTCCTCCCCACTAAAATGTGAGATTACCAGACTTATGATCTTATAATGATTTCTCTAGAAGTTCAGTATACTTTTACATTTTTACATCTTCTGGTAAATAAAATGCTTGTTTATTGGGATATATGAATAGTTTCCCAAACCACATATTTGGTTTATTTAGAACCATATGTCTTTAAGTAGAAACTCCCAAACCAGTATCTTACAAACTCTTGGTAAAAAGGAATACTATTCATTGTTTGAATATGAAATAGATAATAAATTAAGAGAAGGAAATGTTGCCAGCTAATACCTGTTGCACAATTGTTGTTAATTCCAAGCAGAGCTGTATGACATTATTCCTTGTAACTGAATAGTCTGTGACAGCAGCAAATGGTGACCTATAAAGGGAAAAGGAAAAAAAACATAGTGAATAATAGGAACAGATTTTGAAAAGTCCTAAAATGCAATGCCTAAAGTTAAGATCTTGAATAATAGGAAATGAGTTGTTCTGAAGTTTACGTAGTGAAAAACAATATTCAGGACATATTTAAGAAAAAAGATTCAGGAAATGGCTGAGAACAGAATTAAATTCAAGAAACATAATGTTTGCTTTCTATCAAATTTCTTTTTTTAGTTTTTAATATTTATTGGTTCTTCGGTATGTAGAAGGCGTCTACACTACGTCTACAATAAAACACCAAATAAAGGAGTACTTTAGGCAAAGACAACATTTTAGTTTATTTTCAAATGAAGATTTTCAATACATTACTTTCTTGAAATACTCACAATTCAGGGCTGACACTGACAGCCAACACTGAAGACCTATGTGCCAGTTACTGTTCTGAATGCTTTACATGTACTAAGTTATTTTCACAAAAACTCTTATGTCAATAGGCACTATTATTATTCCCATTTTACAGATGAGAACGCTGACAAAAAGGGTAACAACTAGTAAGTTGTAGAACTGCTATTCAAACCAAGGAAGTCTGAGCCCACAAGTCAACAGAGTTAAACACTAATATACTGCCTCTACCGATTTACCTAGGTTTTATCTTGTACTAAACCAATCATTTATGTCACTTCATAGCCTTTTTAAAACAACTTGGTACATATATAATAAATATATTCTGATATAAGGTTTATATTTACAAGGATGTTATGAACAAATAGCAGCAAGCAAGCAAGAGTTTTGTCACCAAATGAATTCACAATGACTTTCATTACTTCTTAACCTCTCTCATCTGTGAATGACAATGAGGTTTTGTAAGGCCAAAGCTTACAGGATTTAGGAGACCCAGTTTAATGAAAAGAAAATAAGTCAGTAATATAAAAGAAGGTATGGAGGTGAAAATTTAGTAAAATTATTGAATCCTTAGTGCTTTAGGCCTACTCTTTGATATCTCTTCAGGCAATTTACTGGGAAGGCTTATATGGAACCACTTCCTGATTACAAACAATTTGTTTCTTCTAGGAAACTACAACTCAAGCACCTCCCACTCTCACATGGGTTCATATAAGAGAGAAGTCCTTTATTTGCTATTTTTAAGCTTATATTTCACTCATGTATTTTTCATATTGGCCGTTCTATTAGCTATGTAATTATTTTCCCAAGACATTTTTTTCTGGTTTTATTTTAATCACCCACTCATCATGACAAGTGCACTCCTTAATCACCCACCTCCCCTTTGGTAACCAACCATCAGTTTGTTCTCTATAGTTAAGAGTCTGCTGGGGGTACCTGGGTGGCTCAGTCAGTTAAGCGACCGACTTTGGCTCAGGTGATGATCTTGCAGTAAATTCGAGCCCTGCATCAGGCTTTGTGCTGACAGCTCAGAGCCTGGAGCCCGCTTCAGATTCTGTGTGTGTGTGTGTCTCTCTCTCTGCCCCTCCCCGTCCCCTGCTCATCCTGTCTCTCCCTCTCTTTCTCTCTCCTTCTCTCTCTCTCAAAAATAAACATTAAAAAATATTAAAAAAGAGTCCGTTTCTTGCTTTGTCTTTTTTTCCCCTTTGCTCATTTCTTTTTGACTCTTAAATTTCATACAAGTGAAATCATACGGTATTTGTCTTTCTCTGATTGACTTATTTCACTTAGCATTATATCCTCCAGGTTTATTCATGTTGTTGCAAATGACAAAATTTCATTCTTTTTTATGGCTGAATAATATCCCATTGTGTATATATACCACTTCTTTATCCATTAGATAAATGGATAAATTTATCCACGAATGGATAAATCCATGAACACTTGGGTTGCTTCCATGTTTTAGCTATTGTAAATAATGCTGCAATAAACATAGGGGTGCCTTTATCTTTCTGAATTAGTGTTTTCATATTCTTTGTGAAAATACTCAGTAGTGGAATTACTGGATCCTATGGTAATAGTATTTTTAATTTTTTGAGAAACCTCTATACTGTTTTCCACTGTGGCTGCACCAGTTTGCATTCCCACCAAGGGTGTGGGAGTGTTCCTTTTTTCCCCACATCCTCACCAACACCTTTTGTTTCTTCTGTTGTTGATCTTAGCCATTCTGACAGATGTAAGGTGATATCTCACTGTAATTTTGATTTGCATTTCCTTGATGGTAAGTGATGATGATCAACTTTTCATGTGATCATTGGCCATCTGGACATCTTTGGGAAAATGTCTGTTCGTGTCTTCTCATTTTTTTTAATTGGTTGTTTTTTTGGTGTTGAGTTTTATAAGTTCTTTATATATTTTGGATACTAACCTTTTGTTGGGTATGTCATTGGCAAATATCTTCTCCCATTCAGTAGGTTGCCTTTTAGTTTTGTTGTTTCCTTCACTGTGTAGAAGCTTTTTATTTTGATGTAGTCCCAATAGTTCATTTTTGCTTTTTTTCCCCTTACCTCAGGGGGCATAGCTAGAAAGAACTTGCTATGGCCAATGTCACAGAAATTACTGCCCGTGCTCTTTTCTAGGATTTTTATGGTTTCAGGTCTTACATTCAGGTCTTTAATCCCCCAGGGTGTATTTTTCTATATTTACTTAGAAATCTATTTATATTATATTTATATCTAATTTATATTTATATATATTTATATCTAAGAGTTATCTGTATTTCCTGAATGGTTTCCTGATCGGTGATGCTGAACATCTTCATGTGCATATTTGTGCATATATATGTGTGTGTGTGTGTGTGTGTCACACACACACACACACACACACACACACACACATATATGTCACTCTTTAGTGAAATGTCTCCTTAAGCCCTTTGCCAATTTTCTATTTGGATTTTTGGTATTCTTACTATTGAATTTAGAGTTCCTAACACATTTTGTATACAAATTCTTTGTTGAATAGGCGACCTGTAATATTTCTTCTCAGTCCCTAGAATGAGCCATAGCTTACCTTTCCAACCCCTTAACAGGAACTTTAGCATACCAGGTTTTTAATTTGAGGTCAAACTTGATAATTTTTCTGGATTAGACCTTTAGGGCTATATCTGAGAAAATCTTCACGTGACCCAAAGTCATATTTTGTAACGAAATTTGTATAGTTATATGTTTCACCTTTAGCTCTGTAATTTATTTTAGTGTCAACTTTTATATAATGTGTGAGGTCTGGCTCGAGTTTCACTTTTTGCCCTGATGCCTATCCAAGTGTTCCAAAACCATTTGCTGAAAGGCTATCCATTCTCCACAATCAAAAATCTAGGTGTTGATCCTGTCACCAATACCAATTTTGATTACAATGGTTATATAATACTTAAAATTGAGTAATTTATTTTTCAAAATTGATGATCTATTCTTGTTTCTTTGCTCTTTAATATAAATTTAGAATCATATAGCCTGTGGCTATTAAAAAAACCCTGTGGGAATTTCTATATGAATTTCCTTATATATGTAGGGAGACTTGAGAATTGACATTTTTACTGAGACTTCCAACCTATGAATACAGTATACAGTATGTGTCTCATTTATGTCATTTGATTTTCCACATCAGTGTTTTATAGTTTTCACATACTGATCCCATAGATATTTTGCTAAATTTATATGTAGGCAACTCACTACTTTTGGAGCAACTGTAAATTGTACATTTTTAATTTTGGTTTCCAGTTATTCATTGTTAGTATGTAGGAATACAATTAACTTTTGTGTGCGGACTTTGTATCCTACAACCTTGCTATTTACTTACTAGTTCTAACATGTTTTGTAGATAGCTTGGAATTTTCTACACAGGGATATATATGATCTGCAAATAGGGGAAGTTTTGTTTTTTCATTCCAATCTCTAGTCCTTTTATTTCTTTTCTTGCCTACTTCACTGAATGTGACTTCCAACAGATTATTAAATAGGAGAGGTGAGAGCACATAGCATTACCGTATTCCCAGTCTTAGGAGAAAACCATTTATTTTCTTAAGGGAAGTAGAAGTTTAGCTGTTCCTTTTTATATATGCTTTATATCACGTTCAGATACTACCAATCTGTTGCTACACTTCTGAGTAGTTTTCTAAAGAATGGGTACAGGATACGCATTCATTACCAATTACCAAATTACCAATTACCATTACCAAATGCTCTTTATACATTAACGGTTACGATCATATGATTTTCATTTTTTAACCCACTTATGAGGTGGACTACACTGATATAATTTTAAATCCATTTATGTACTTATTTATTTTTAGAGAGAGAAAGAGCAAGGGAGGTAGAAGAGAGAGAATCTTAAGCAGGCTCTAATGCAGGACTCTACCCCACGACCCTTGGATCATGACCTGAGCCAAAATCAAGAGTCAGATGCTTACCTGAGCCAACCAAGCATCCCCATAGTGATTTATTTTTAAGTGTTAAAGGAGCCTTGTATACCTGGAATAAATTCCACTTTGTCACAGTATATAATTTTATTTATATATGGTTGGATTTGGTTTACCAATATTTTGTGGAGGATTTTAACTTGTAGGTTAACAAGTTAACATGTAAATTCATGAGAAATGTTGGTCTGTAGTTTTCTTTTTTTTATGGTCTTCATCGAGTATTGAGATCAGGATCATGATCATCTCATAAATTGAGATGGAAGATTACCTACTTATCCTTTTTCTGGAACAGACTGTGTAGAATTGGTGTTATTTCCTCTTTAAATATATAGAGTTCACCATGGAAATCATCTGGGCCTGGACCTTTTATACCCCATTACACAAGGTTTCTAAGTCTAATTCAATGTCTTTAATACTTACAGGATTATTCAGAGTATCTATCTGATCTTAGGTAAGTTTTGATAGTTGGTGTTTTTCAAGGAATTGTAATTGGTCGATTTAATCTAAGCTGTCAAATTTATGTATAAAGAATTATTTGTAGTATTCCTTTATGATCCTTTTATTTTGACTGACTTCTCCATTGTGTTTCTGTTTTCAGTTTCAATGATTTTTGATCTTTT